GGCCGATTCGTCCTGTTGATCCACCACGGAAACTGAATTCGCCGTCGCACACCTTGTTGCCCGGACGGAAGCTCCAGGCCCAAAGGTCTCGTCAAACAGTTTCCTATCAAACGACTTTCTATCAAACGATTAGGGAAGGAATGAGCCGGGCTTACAAACTCACTCTGAACATGGAGAGGGGAGCAGCCCCCACCCTGTTTTATGAGGTGAGCGCGACCCGGTAACAAAGATGTTGCAGGAAAGAGAATTACTGACCAATGTCCCCACTGACAGGCCCAGAGGCCCCGCAAAACGCCAGCAAATCCAAGGCAACAAAGCTGGAAGGATGAACTCGGGGGCCAGGTGTTACCCCTGAGGGCAGGGCTGGCCAGTCGAAAGTCAATCTGTTTAATTCCCCAGGTTAACAGAGTAAACGAGAGAAAAAATGATTGTTTACATGGATGTGGATAGAGCAGTAACAAAATTCAGCATCCGTATGATTTAGGTTTTTTGTTGTTTTTTTAAATATATTTTATTGATTTTTTTTTTTACAGAGAGGAAGGGAGAGGGGTAGAGAGTTAGAAACATCGATCAGCTGCCTCCTGCACACCCCCTACTGGGGATGTGCCCGAAACCAGAGTACATGCCCTTGACTGGAATCGAACCTGGGACCCTTCAGTCCGCAGGGCAACGCTCTATCCACTGAGCCAGACCGGTGAGGGCCATATGATTTAGTTTTAAAACTCTCACACATTCAGGGGAGATGGGAACGTCACACATGTCATAAGGGCTCGCATGAGCCTTCTATGGGCATCACACCCAGCGTGAGACGCCAACCACGTTCCCCCAAGATCAACAGCAAGGACGCTGCCCACTCGTGACCTCTGCTCCGCATTGGAACAAAGTCCTGCACAGAAAGGCAGGAAAGAGAAATAAAAGGCACCTGAACGGAAAGACGCACATAAACTCTACCCACAGACCGAGTGGTCGTGTGTGTGGAAAATCCTAACGAATCTGGGAAATAAGTATCACAAAATCCTTAGGGATATATTCACACAAGATGTGTGAGGCCACTAACTGAAAGCCACGAACCCGCTGAGAAAATTTAAGAAGTCCTAAGCAGGGAGAGAGAGCACGTTCATGGATCAGCAGCCTCAATCTCATTAGCCTGTCAGTTCTCCGCCCTCGAATCTGTAGATGGAATTTCTTGCCAGTCGCAGCCCCAACAGGCTTTTTAAATAGAAATTGATAAAATGATTCTGAATCCGAGATGGAACTGCTGAGGCCCTAAAGTGGATCTGTGGCCGTGGAAATGTTCCACGGGGCCTTTTCAGCGCGGCGGCCGGGCCTGGGGAACTGAATCTTTCGTGCAGTTTCATTTTAATAAATGTAAACAGCCGGTGTGTCTGGGGCCTCGCTGCTGCCCGGGGCGGCGCGGACCTGGGGTGACCAGAGGGGCTGGAACAGGGGGAGTGCGAGCGGATTGACACGTCTGAGTGCGAAGCTGGCCGCACAGTCACCGTCACAGACGGCGCGGAGCCGGCGGGAACAGCCCCGTAGACTGATGGACAGAATAGAGGCCAGGAGCAGACTCACTACATCCGGTCACTTAATTTCAGCAAAGTCACCGAGCAACCCAGCGGAGACACGGGAAGCCTCCCTCGTGGTGGCTCTAAAGCAAGTGGACATCCGCTGGGAAAAGGCATTTCACCCCACCTCCTATCACCCGCAAAGTCATTATCTGAGACGAATTAGGGACCTACGAGTAAAGTGAGAACTCTCAGTTTGGCCCAGCCGGTGTGGCTCAGTGGGTGAGTGTCAACCCAGGTGCCAAAAGGTCACCGGTTCGATCCCCAGTGGGCAGGGGG